CCTGCTGCCCCCTCCCTCGCTGCAGCACCAGACCTGGAGATTGATGGGCCTGTGGGTGCATAATTAATTGCTGGCTGGGGGACAAGCAGATGTGGGAGGGGATGGACACAAGATTAATGAGGATTTTGGGTGTGAGGAGAAGCTGAAAGTGCTGCACCATCAGGCAGCCACAAGAGCTCCTGCAGTAGGGACCAGAATCACCGCTGCAGGTGCTCGGAACAGTGGGGGACACTAAAATTGGTCTCCCCCATGCTGGGGATGGGCAGTGGGAGGTCAGAAGACAGCCCAGGCAATGCAGCATGATCCTTTGTGAAATGTCACTCTGATGGTGGAGACAGGGCCGGCTCTAGGTTTTTTTATTGCCCCAAGTGGGAAAAAAAAACAAAAAACAAACCAAACCAAAAAACCTCCGAGCTTGGTTTGCTGGTGCCTAGAGCCGGTCCTGGGCGGAGGGGCCTGACTCATTATTTTTAAACTTTTGGCATTGGCTAGACTGACATGGTCCCGCTGTTGCTCTGTCAGGGACGACAACGGGGTATCCCAGCCATGTGTTTTACCCAGCAGTGAGTGCGATTAGTGCACTGAGCTGTGTGTGCTCCTGCTCTCCCCAGTGACAGCGCTGCTGGAGTACAATGTCAAGGGGAGAACTCAAGGGAAGAGTTTAGTGTACACACAGATTCGATGACTGCATAGGTCCAAGGGCAGTTGCTGGGGAGGGGCTGTGGAGGCTGGGATTTTGGCGTGGTGACTGCACATCCTAGGTTGAGTTCCCTAGGTTGAGAGATGGCAAAAGCCCAGTTCTTCACAAAAGCATCTGATTCCTCCTCTCCCCCTTTGCCTCACACAGGTGTTTATAAATGAAGACCTGGTACACCCCTGTGCGCGCACACACATTCTCTCTCTGGTGTTAGCATTGGAGCAGATGAAAACGTCTCCAGATTGTCATGCTCATAACTTTCTGCAATATTCCCCTTTGGGGATGTAGCCACAAGTGATATTGGACGGGGGGAGGGGAATTTGGACAAACCCTTTTGGTCATTTGAGTTGGGAGGGGAAATAACCTTTCTAGCTGCCACACTTCCTTTCTCTTAGAGCCCTCAGAACAGCTGTGCTTTGAAAACTCTGATGCTCAGCATGTAAATAAGCATGGCCACAGGCGATTGGTGAGGGTGGTGTCATTCTGGTTCCCTAGTCCCACTGCAAGGCTGCAGGGAGCCCAGCTGAGCTGTTCTCTGCTGCAAGACACGGTGCTTGTAGAATCCTTGGAGCAGGTCAGCAGGATTGTTAGCACTTTCTTTCCTTTTCTGTAGAAGGAAGTGAGAGAAGCTTTTTGCATTTAATCCACAAAGATGAGCAAGTAAAATTAAAAAAAAAAAGTCAGGAAATACAAAAATTAAGGCTCCTTCAGCAATCTAAGGGCTCCCCCAGGAACGATGGACCATCACAGACTTCACTTTGCATTCCAAATGCAAGACATTCCTTTGACTGGCCTTCTCTAACATAAACACAGAGCAACAGGTATATTTATTTTAAAGAAAGCAAAACAAATAACCTACCAAAACAAGACACTCCACTGCATGTGCTTCTCCCCCTGAGGAGAGGAAGCGAGAACAAATAACCCATGACAGACGTGTGGGCACGTTGCTTAATGCATGACAAGCAGGTGCTCAGCTATGACGGTGATAATTGCAGTAGGAAAACCTATATAGAATGGAATAGTGCCAGCGAGTGCTCGCTGCACAGTGCATTGACCGTAGCAGTGGGTGATCTTTAGCTGCTGTGAATCTCCCTAGCCCTATCACTGCAGGGGAGCTGTGACAATTGATACCAGCAGAAGCTCTGTCCCAGTGAGGCTTCTCGCAGCAGACAGCTGGTAGTGCTGGCAAGGATTAGCCCTCCCTTGGCCACGTGCCACATCCCTAATACTTTCTATTCTAGTTTCTCTTTCCATAATTTTATATCATCAAATAACTAGGTTAATGTTACTGTTGCAACCTTCATTTTTGCATTTCCTGACTGACTTTTAAATCCTAACTGTGAAACCCTGGCCTAATGTTAACCCCTTATTTTATTTTTTTAGACTATAAGCTCTTTGGGAACTGTCTTTTTATCACGTGTGCCTACACCAGGGGACCCTGTTCCTTGAATGGTGCCTCTAGAGGCTACCAAAAACAAATAATAAATATATACAATAAATACAGATAACAGTAATCCTAGAATATTTTCTGTAAGGCATTGAGGGCTCTTTAAAAAGCAAGGTAACCTTGTCCTTTGGGTGGTAGAAGGTCATTTTAGAGACATTGCCATTACCCTCAGCTTTCCAAGCTTCCCTAACTCCAGGATTTGTTCTATCTGAATTGCAAAGGGTAGAGCAGTTGCTTTGCTTTGTACCCTTTTCTGTTATATAAAGAAGGCCTCAAAGATGCTGGAAACACTGGGGGGTATTCTCTAGCCAGTGTGATGCAGACAGGCAGACTAGATGTTCATAACAGGCCCTTCTGACCTTGAGACCTAAGACTCTATGAATTTTTCCCTTCAAAGAATTCTCTATGTTTTGAATTAGAAGTATGAGAGAGAGAGAATGTGTGTTTGGCCTCAGGACCTAGTGACTGAATCCTGAACTGGATCCTCTCTGCCCTCCCCTATGAGGACGCTGCCTCATTCACACTCAGCTGTTTCACTCACTCTTTGTTAGGCAGTGGAGTGAGACAGGTTTTAAAACAATTATACAAGCAGAAAATAGAGCTGCTTGGTTACTCGTGTTATTGAGTCATTTTAAAAAAATGCTGTTTTTAATACCTGCAGAATAACTTACCCAATAAATATCCAAACAAATGTATGTAAAATTACTGATACCAGATAGGCCTAAACATCATAGCAAAAATAGAATACTGATCCCTGGGGCAAAACCTAGAGTATATAATAGAACCAAGAGTGATAGGCTATTGCATTGAAACACCCAGTTTAAACATCACCTGCAAGGAAAAGGGGGACGTGGGAGTTACTTCCCTTTGTTGTTGCTGTTTCTGGTGGATGGAGAAGGCCTGAACATTTTTTATTTTTAATGTTCTGCTTGGTTTTTAAACTTAGGAATGTTGGGGATTGGGGAAGTCTGCTCCTCCCTGGTTATGCTGGGGGGCCCACACAAGTGGCCTGGAAGCTCTGTTGTCTCTTAAGTGCAGGGGATGGCTGTTGAATCTTTCACACGGAAAGCTTTTCTCCCTACTGTTGTTCAGGTATTTGATTGCTGTTAAAAGCTAGCTATCTCAAAGTGTTTTAACCAATCTGAATTATATTCTCGATCCTTTCAGTTCATCAGGTTTCACTTCCCTGGTACTTGTGATGACCTCCTAATGCTCCAAGTGTCCGTACAGTCTGCCAAAGAGAACCTGAATTTCTACCAGGGGAAAAAATATTTTTCTGTTTGTAAACCCATTCAGGCCCCTTTATGCATCAGGCAAAACCTCAAGAAAGGCCAAGTCTCTGAACTGCTGCCGGTAGGCCATCTTCAGCCTGGCTGGGTTTCCCTGCCCTCTCAGTTGAGTTCTGTGATAGCTGCATCTCAGGGTTGGTCTGTTGTGATGTCACTGTTCCACTTATTCTTAGTTCACTGGTGAAAGGGGACAGTCAAGTCCTAATATCTGTAATGAAGTAAACCAGAAAGAAAACAAGCAAACAAACTGACACCCCCCCTCCCCCATCTGCCCTGCTCCCACACCCTGTGTGCATCGGAGTGTAACTTCCTGAGCAGTGATCTCACTGTGGTCAGCCAGGGTGTGGAGTCTGGTATTTCTCTTGCTAGTTATGACCTTTATTGCCCATGTGCACCTTCTCGTGCCCCTGTTCTCCCCTGAAGCTCCCCCCTCGGGCGTGTAACATCCTGCAGAAGAGGCTGTCCCGTGCAGGGCCCAGCTTACCAGAAGCATGACACTTTCCTGGCACAGCAGCCATCTGTGTGCAGTGACCTAACCCGGCTGTGCTGGGGCCCTTGGTGACACTGTGCAGAGCAGGAGCAGTGTTCTTCTCCAGGGCTGCCTGGGCAGCTCCTTGTTTCTTTCTATTCGAGCGCAGTGTCTCTTCAGGCCTTGGGAGCAGGCTGGCTGTGGAGCCGAGCAGTGACAGGATGCCTTGGTTGCTCCACCCCCCCCAACAGGAAGTTGCAGAGGGGGGGGGCTCCCCCACTGCCTGAAACCAACTCAGCACTGCATGCTCTAAAGCCCTAACCCAGGCAACAGCTCCCCACTCTCCCCTTCCTGCCCTCCCAGCAGGAAGCAGATTGGGGCTAAACCCTGCCATGGGAGCCACATCCCCAAACAGCCTGACACCTGCCTGGCTCTCCACTTTGGAGGGAGATATCACCAACTTTACTCCTGGTCAGCACAGTGCTGGGGTATCAAGCACATTTCACCTTGGGCCTGTGCGGCTGGCCTGGCTCGTCCCTGCAATGCCCCAGCTTATCGCACCCAGTGCTTATGCCCACCCCAAGCAGCCCTGGGAAATGTACCCCACCCAGAGCACAGGTCACAAGACGCCTGCAGCCAGCCTGGCTCAGTCCTGTCCTAGGCACCCCACACACAGTCTGCAAGAGGCAAACACCAGCCCCCATGCCTGACCGCAGTGAGATCGTTGGTCAGGAGGCCCTTTATCATCCGCAGCCTCATCACCGAGTGCTGCTGGCTGGTGCTGCAGGCTCAGTGCTAGTTCCTCTCCTCCCTCAGGCCACTCCTTACACCACAGACCTGGGCTAGGAGAGAAGGTGGAGGGAGATGACTGGTTTATTCCAGTCCAGGCACCAATTCAAGCTAGGCCACCTGGAGACAGACACCTCTGAGGGCATCCGATCTCTGTGAATAGAGACAAGTCCAACATGAGCACTCTGTTAACTTAGGGCTAGTCTACACTTCCCACCCGGATCAGCGGGTAGAAATCGATCTCATCTAGACGGATAAATCGATCCCCGAATCGACGCGCCTACTCCCACCTCGTCAGGAGAAGTAAGCGCCGTCGACTGGGGAGCCGCAGCGGTCAATTTGCCGCTGTCCTCACAGCAGGGTAAGTCTAATAGGATACGTCGAATTCAGTTACGCTATTCGCGTAGCTAAATTTGCGTATCTTAAATTGATTTCCCCCCCTCCAGTGTAGACCTAGCCTTACAGACCTCCAAAGGCCCCTTGAGGTCCTGACAGATGCTGTGTGACATGGGGATGCAGTTCCCTGGACTTGACGTGTGCCTGTCTTGAGAGCAGAGAACATCATCCTGCTTTTGCTCTGCTACCATTGTGAAAAGAGCTCCTAGGTATTCCTGGAAGGAACACCCTTCTAAGTCATAGAATCATAGAATATCAGGGTTGGAAGGGACCTCAGGAGGTCATCTAGTCCAACCCCCTGCTCAAAGCAGGACCAATTCCCAACTAAATCATCCCAGCCAGGGCTTTGTCAAACA